TAAGGAAAGGTTGCCGGTTGCATATCCGAGCACGATCGATTTGAAATGCCTGGCTAGGAAATTCGTTGGAAAACTTATCACGTTTCGCAGGCTGCGATTTAATTGCACAAGTTGTGAATGGGCCCGTGAGATGCATAGAAGGAGATCGAATCGAACACAAACGACCGCATTGGCCACCGGCTGGCCACAAGCATTTCGTTTGTGGAAGTCAGACACCTGTTTGTATCGAATAAACGCTTCCTCGCGGATGGGAGGAAAGTGTAAATTATCATTAATACTGACTAATTTCACGGAATGTAAACGAACTTTTTGCCATGTGAGGCTAGCGATAGCAATATTCAGTGATTCTCTAATGCTCTTTGATAAGGAAGATATAATTTAAAGTGAAACAAGTAAAAAATTAGAGATAATGTTTGAGATAATGAAAGAAAATTGATCTTAAAGACTTTAGGACAGCTTTCATTATCATAAAAATATTGATATTACTTGTGTCATTTCTCTATCAATACAGCGATTTTTTTATCACATAAATATATTGTAAATTACGTCTATCTTACTCAATACTTATAAGATTATTCTGTACAAATAGTGAAGCTGCATGGTACTTGCAATATTTAATGACTTTTGTATTGTCGTACGTTTGTTATACAGAGATCTTATAAAGCTCGATCGATAGACTATGCGCAATACTTTGATGCACGTACGCGACGACGTGCCGCAGACATCCTAACGGAATATTCGGTGCGATGCAAACATTCCGGCAGGCGCGATCTGCATCTCATATCCGACTGCATGATCCAACGCTGGGTCGTATCTAGTTTGCACGTGAATTACATTACAAATGCAGTTACTGAGACCAGTGCCTCCGTATCGCGCTCTTATTTTATCCCCACGTTAATAGCCTCACGTCCAAATGTGATTACAATAAGCTCGACATTATCCTGATGACACAGTAGGAGAAGCATTAGCCAGAATTAGAAATATATGTGCATATACACTGCTATACATATACATATATTATATATATATACATATATATATATATAGTCTTGTACGAATATTTTGTATATATGTAGCGTATATACGGAGCTCTTATGAAATTAGTACCCTATTTTCAGAATTTTGATATAATTAATAAACTGACTTTTTCTCCAAGACGTAAAGTTGCTGATACATTTGAAAACAGATTCTCTCTGACGCGATTAAATGTGAAAAAAATTCAAAATCTAAAGAATAGGTAGTGCCTATTTCGTGTTTTCATTATATAAAAATTGGCTATAACTTATTAACATTTAAAAATACGAAATTACGAAATTAATTGATTTCAGATCATTTCAATTTTAGCGAAACAATTAACTTTATAAGTATCTTCTTTCATTTCTCGTTTTCTTCGTATTTTTTTTACCAGCTGTCCAAACTAATTCTGTGAAGTTGCCTCTCCCCTCCACTACTGAAAATCCACTAACGATCATTACTTACCACTCGATTGAGTATATGTCGTTTGGTAGTATATGGTAGTCCATTCTCGATGATAGGTAAAGTTATAAATAATAACATGAAAAAAAGACATACGCGCGTGAAGTTAGCCCCTCCTTTTGCAAAATATGACGAATGCTTACAGTTATGAATACTTACGCAGGGGAAAGCCATACTTTACGAAAGAAGGGGCTAACTTTAACGCGCGTATGTCTCTTTTCATATTATTATTTACAACTTTGACTACCAATCATTGGGAATGGACTACCAAACGATCACCAATCGAGTGGTAGTGGTCGTTAATGGATTTTCAATAGTGGGGAGAGGGGACCAACTTCAACTGTCCAAACTTCTATCCTACACTCATATTTCAATAATTTGTATGATTTTATCTTTCCCGTCAATCACACGTATTTCATTTTTATATGTGATTTAAATTGACGATTCCAAGATAGCAGTTCGGTTCCGCTCTCTTTATTTACTGTCTGACCACGACTGCACCCTTGGATCGATCTCGAAATACTCGATACGCTGACCTTCGCACGCGGATAATATCCGCCCCTCTTGGTCGCAACGGGAGGAAAATTTCGGTCCGTTTAGAAGGAAAAGGGAAGGGCATAAACCAGCACCTTCGGTATTTAATAAACATTCCGCGAAAGCCGCAGTTTCGCTGGAACGCAGGAGGGACGTGGGGAGGGGGGGAGGGGAGGAGAATTTGTCTTCTGCCCCCAGCCGGCTGCCTTTTTACACCGTATTTTCCCCGCGAAGGGAAAGGGCTTAAAATTTTCATTCGATTTCCGCGGGAAATCCGATCCGTCGTTGGCAACCGCGGGTATCCGGTCGCTAGGGGCTGCGAAATTAATTAAATCGTTAACTGCGGACGAGTTTGCCATGGTCTGGACGGATATATCCAGCGCTCTTCTCATCCTTCCTGCCCTTCCACGCGGCATGGATCTCTGGGTGAACTCCCTTGATTCTCGGGTCCTAATATATATATTTTTTTTGTTGTTATTTTTCGGACGTTTCGGTCAGACACAACCCCTTAAATACGACTCGTTAAACGCAAAGAGGATCATTGTCACAGGGAAGTTTTTATCCGGAATCCGGATGGGTTGAATTAAAGCAGGAGTCAAATTTTTCAAGCAAAGGGCTTCGCTTTGAAATTTACAATTGCTCAAAAACTGTTATCTCTGTGTCAGTATCACTGCTACAAAATAACATCAAAATAATCGTAAATAATTGGCATGTGAAGTTAACGTTATAATTTTTATTAATACAAGAATTTGTCATAAAATAAATTATTATTATTATTATTATTATTGCCTAAATGTAATAACGAATTTCACCAAAACAACTTATTTTATATTATTAATATATTATATAATTTATTAGTATGAGATCTTATTATAAAAATAAATTATTATTATTGTTGTCTAAATATAATAGCGAATTTCAAAGCTGTATATTTTATATCATTAATACCTCTTTTATTTTATTGTACAGTAAGCATTACAAAATGCAGTCATGGCATTATTTAGCAGCATTATGGGCCGTAATTATTTGCACATAAAGCGTATTGGTGATTTCCGGAAATACGATCATACGCAATCGTACCGTATGAATTCGATATCAACTTCTACGGATACATTGCGCGCACCATAAATCGATGTATGCTCGATTTCAATTCGCTCTGGTATGGCTGCGCATAGCTTGAAACGTAGCATCGTGTTCCTTTGATATCGCGCGAATTGGATTGCAACATTTGACAGCGAGCCACAATTTTCATATTAATGTTCGTCATGTTTAGCCCTCTTGTTGGTCGGCGAATTTGCATAGTTCGATATTAATATTAATACATTAGTCCGCATTATTAGGGCACTGAAATATTAATTAATATGACGCGAGCCACCGTTGCATATCTAATACTCGCAGCATTTATGCAAAAGTGAATACTCAGAACTGATGATACAAATCCAGGCTTAACCTTTGTTGCAAGAAAAATATTCATGTATGTTACAGATTATGGCGCAATATAATGAAATTTAACTATCACATGGATTTAATCAATGCACGGTAAATGCCAAGCTTATTCCCGTATACGCAGAACTGTTGTATCAATTAAATTAATCATACAGCTTCATTACTTAGAATTTTGAGAATCAAACTCTCTAGTAACAAGATAAAAGAAATTTGTATCCCGCATCTCATCTGAATTTGTATAAAACTATAACTTGCATCGCAACACGTAATTTCAATGCAGAATTTTGTTATTTCGAGTTTCTTAATGCGCGCCAGGCATCTCGCGAAGATAAGCGCGGTAACATTAACACCGCGAAGAAGATCCACAGGAGAATTGAATACACGTGGCAGGGATGAGGGAGAAACGAGGATAGACTCGAGAGATATATTCGAGTATTTTGCCTAGCCTATCCCCCGCGATGCCGAATTTACATAAGCGGCTTTTCTCTGGGCGAAGCTTTTCTCCCGGTCCTAAACAAATATTGACCAGGTCGCCTCTTCCAGTAGTCCGGTGCCGTCGTCAAATGGCCCATAGCTAGCCACCGTAGGCATTATCCGTAAACGCTTATTAAACGGTGGGCGAGATGGGAAATCATGATGTCACTCGCGACCTCGGCTCGAGACGACGTGAGTCAAAGTTTAAGAACGACGTCACATCGTACAAAACACTCGGTTCTTTTTTTTTAATTAATCGATGCTGCTACTTGCAACCGAGAATATTAGATGGCAATTGTTAACCTTTTTTTAATCTGCAGAATATTAATCCTTCATTCATAGAATATGTCATGAATGATAGTCGATCATGAATGCCATTTATAAAAGTTTTAATGAGTTCGCTGACAAGTTCAGATAACTAGAACTTGGAAAATAAAGAATAGGAAAATAGTTAGTTTTACGTAACGCTTATAGAAGAATTTTTTTCATCTTTAATAATTCCAATTCTTTTGATGTTATATAAACTCTATTATCATAATGGCATACGTAAAGTGCCGAGCGCTACTTGTGAGATAATCAATAATAATCTCGACTGTCTTAAACATCATAAACTTAAGAAAAAGAGAGAAGAAATAGAAGAGATCTCGTTTACGTCTCGTTTGAGTCGTCTTCGAAAATTCAGAACAAAAATACAGCCATAAAATAGGAATTAAATTGAAATATCTAGTTATAGGAAATGCAATAAGAATGACTAATGCACTTAATTTATCCACTACGCAATTCTCCAATAATAGCATTACACGTTCTTGCTAATGACAATTGACTATAGCTATGTTGATCGTTTGCACGATTACTCAGCCAGACACATTTCTCATTGACTAATTATATGATCATACGCGAGGATGAATAATCACATATCATCGCTAAGACAATTGTCTTCCGGTGCTATTATTGAGTTATTAAGATCGCGTATGTGTTGCCAGCGAAATACGTATGTTCATTTTTCATATAATAATGCGACAGCACACAAACGATTGCTAATGGAAGTTATATATGCTTTATTATTACAGAGCGTAAGCTGTTCGTTGGCATGCTATCGAAAAAATTCACGGAAAACGACGTTAGGAACATGTTTAGCAATTACGGAATGATCGAGGAATGCTCGGTACTGAGGGACAGTACTGGGAAAAGTAAAGCCTGTGCCTTCGTTACCTTCGCTAGTAAGCAGTACGCGATCAATGCCATCAAAGCTCTGCATCATTCCCAGACAATGGAGGTGAGTACAATTTTAAACGATGAAGTATAAACACTTTATACAATGTTCACAACGTTTGGGATCCGATTTTATAAATTTGAAAATTAAAATTAAACACTGATAACTACTGTTAAATAAAAATTTAACAGTAGTTATCAGTCTTAAAGTGATTGGCGCTGTTAATTCTTCAAGTACCTAATTAATGTTCCTAATTTTAATGAATAAAAAATTATGGCTTTTTATATAATTGATGTAATTTAAAATCTGTCAAAGTATTAAAGTTGTCAATCTTGAAAATCGATATTAAGAATTCCTAAAATCGAAAGTTTTGCGCATACAGCACGGTAACTAGTGTTCAAACTATTAATAGTTAACTACAACTTTAGCAGCTTTACTACAATATCTCAATTAATAATCGCAATAACGTCATCTGATGTTCTCTCTTTTATAATAAATTAAGAATACAATTGGTAACTTCTCGTACATGGATAATGCAACTCTTATAAGAATATAACATGTTTTATTCATTTATTTATTTCTTTAATCACGTACCGTTCATTAATTTATCATTCAATGATAATATCGTGTCTTTCATCCTTTCATCATTAACTTTTTTGCACCTACGTTTTCTACAGTTAACTAAAAGATAATAATGAAAAGTCAGTTGCTTGTGGAAATAATGAGCATTCGCAATGAGGACATGCAATCTGCTCTCATATTTATACTCGCAAGAAAGAACTGGGTCGCGAGGACTCCGATCTTTTTAAGCGGAGAAAACAGTGTCGTGAAGACTAGCAGATGACGGCACAAAGCGGGTCGCGTACAAAGTCTTCGTGGATCGTTTCTTTTCGTGGCAATTCAACCGAGTCGTCGGATGTATTGGCCCGATGCCACTGTCACTCGACGAAACATCCGTGTGCATCTACAATCCGAACTAGTCACCTCGGTGAAATATACAGATTTAACTCGGGGTAACTAAAACCGAGCGAGAGAGTAAAGGCGACCGAACTGGTCGACACCTTGGCGATTCAAAGCTCGCCAAGACTTCTTCATCTTTCTCTCGTTCCCCTGTACTTCTTACTACTAAGCGTTAGCCAATGCTAGAATTGGTATGGATAAGTAAATTACCGAATATCCATTCAGCATCAATTGAGAATATAAAACGAATTACGTATCGCTATCGATTTATGTATTAAAAAATATAATGATTAAATGAACAGGTAAGAAGGATATCTTTTGCTATAGTCTCTACAAAATTTTGACAAGAAAATAATAGATTATGCATTTGGCTTGTGATTTTACAAAAAATTTAAAAATATTTTCTAAGTCTAATTAATACTTTTTAAAATAATGTATAATTTGATTTTCACTACGTTATTTGATTCACACAATTCGACACAAGTATGTTAACATATTTTTTCTGTGAATTTTTTACGCTACATAATATATAAAGTTTTTTCTTAATTCTATAGTAAATGATAAATTTTTCCTTTTTAGATATTTAAGTGTCTAATTAATATTAAGTTCTTTCTTTTCATGCAACCTCGCACGTTGTTAAAAATACAATTTTGTATCATTAATATAAGACCCATTTAAATACCTAACAGCTCTTCATTAATCACTTGACGAGATATATTTGGCGTCGGTACGCCTATGTAGTGTACTATTTCGAATGGTAAAAGCGAGTTGTGCCAAGGCATACGGGCACGAAGGCAATTCCACTTTAATATCACGAATATTTCCGGCTGCAGGTTCTTCGAACTTGCTCATTCGTCACTACCGGCGCAACCGGCACGCCGATTTCGCGTCTCCAATTGCAGGCGCATTGTACATGGTGCATCGACCTCGCGATTCGTGTGTATATCGTCTCGCGTCCCGTCGAATGAGTTTCTCTTTCCACCAATGTAATACTCGATCGCCGGCAAACCCGTTCTCACGCCAATGTTGAACTTGGACTTGAACCAATAATGTACCCCGCCGGATATTCAGGTGTAAAACGCCGCCCGGTACGAAATACGGTTCTGAGCTAACGAGAGCAATGTCGAATTGCAGCAGAAACTTTTGCAAGAATTTGGATAGACAGAAAGCAAGATATTATTGCTAAAATATTGGCACAATTTTGAAATACGAATATTTCTTAAAATTTAAACAGACAGTAAATAAGGAAAAATAATTATTTTTCTCTCCGTTTTTTTTCAAATCATATTTATCGATCACATCAGTTATTGGAGCTTTGAAATATTTAATTATTGTGACATGGCAAGATTTATTCTCATAAATCTCATAATTCTCTCTTATGATTGAATTAATAACAAAATTCGAAAATTTTCTTTCCTTATGGATATGTGATAGGTATATATCATTGAAAGAAAATTTAACATTTGAGAAATGATAATCATGATAATCTATTAAATAATTTGATATTTTGAACATTTGTTACTGTATGCATTATATTTTTCCTTGTCCTTTTGCTTCGGATCTTAAATTCGCGACACTAATCAACATTTGTGTCTACATTTCACGATTTTACGATTTCATGCGGCATTAATGCTTTATGCAATTTTCAGGGCTGTTCGTCGCCATTAGTCGTAAAATTCGCCGACACGCAAAAGGAAAAGGACCAGAAGAGGATGCAGCAACTCCAGTCGAATCTCTGGAATATCGCGGGAGTCAACATCACACCGCATTACCTAGCCGTACGTGTACTTAATATTTTATAATAAAAGCTCTTTGGCCGATATCAAAGATTCCATTTGCATCGAGAACGAGAACTCTTCATGGTTCTATCGTTTGAGCGCCTTACATTCGCATGCATTATCTATCCTTTGTGACTCTTTCTACATAGCAATCTCAATTTTGTTATGCAAAATATATTTAAAAAAAAAGAACTCAGACGTTTTGAAGAACATGATCCGTATTCTTCGAACGCGTACAGCGGCTACCTACGCTAAAGCGCTTTGTTTCTATTGAACGTTTCATGAGATTTGCATAAAGCTTTACGAGCGTATCCTTTGGCAAATTTGCGGTCGATCCTTAGCGGAAATTTGATGAAAAGCTTGATTAAAGAGGTACTTATTAAATTCTAGAAATAAGAATTTATTATTAAAAAATATCAATTATTTAAATGATTTAACGACTTTGAGCGGAATTTCAAGACCGGGCATTCACCGATAATTTTTAATTCAGAAATTTCGAAATGGATACATTACGATGAATTTATGAGATATAACAGCGATCGTGATTGATGAAATTCACGTTTGTGTTTATAGAACGATGCGCATACCTTGGCGCCCGCTTCGTTGCAGCTTCTGCAACAGTTGCAGGCGACGACGAGCGCCGCGACGCCGGTCGCCGCGAATGCGGGAGCGGCGAATGCGCTGTCGAATGTACAACATCAGTTACTGTTGCAACAACACCTCGGCCTTGGTGCGGCAACACCTGCGCACGCAGCACCCCCCGCTGTGCCTACTCCTACAGCAGAAATCAACCCCGCGAATCTGCAAAGTTTAGCCACCCTCGCGTCCCTGAGTAACACCGCTGGTGAGTATGGTTAGTGTCGATTATTACTCTTTTATTTTCGTTTATATCATTTTCATCTTTCGATGATGATTTAAGTAAAATTAGTAGAAAATTTAGTCTCTTGAAACGAGATTTAACATTCTGAATACGACGATGTTAATTGTCATATAAATTAGTGGGAAAGAATTCTATAATATATATTCGTGCATCTGTTATCCATTAGCATTCTTTCAATGATCGTTAACAACTTTTATTCAATTATATGTGAAGACAGATTAAGTGTATGTATAAATAAAATTTATACTTATAAACATTGAAATCGATAAATAATTGTCATATGTTTTAAGGGGTTACACCACCTTGACCGCCTAAAAATCAAT